GCAGTCACTGGTGACAGCGGAGCTGCTGTGGGCTGTGGTTTCTCAGGAACAGACACCATTCTGTACCTGCCCACATGCAGACAGTCCCGATTCTGTGGGGACACTCAGGGGTTCACCCTTCTGAGGAACCAGACACCTGACCAGGCTGAGCGGCAGGTTCATTCCTCCCTGGCGATGCCACTAACTGCCATTTTCACTGATGTTGTCTTTGAGATATGTCCGTCCTAGAGCTGGCCCAAGAGGCTACGTTGGAGCAAGGTGTTGCTCATTTTACTCCTCTAGCTGAGGGCGTGCTGAGAGAAAAAAGGCAAGACGACATCTTAGGACCATGACTGGCTCCACTCTAGATGGCCAGCTGCAGGGTGGGAGGACACTGGGCTCCGAGCCATGACCTGGGAAAGAGCCCTCTCCTATTCCAGGGTTCCTCAGCTGGCAAATGCCTGGGGTTGGCTGCAGTATCCTCATGCCAGCACCCTGCTGACCACCTGGGCTCCCATGGCACATTCCAGACAAACTGGCCCATGGGGACATCGTGGAAAAGTCAGCACAGGGACTGTCTCGTAGCTGAGCCAAAGACCTGATCTCTAGAAATTGCTTTAAGAAGGATTTGCAGTAATACACTACTAAGGACAGGAGCCATACAGGATGAGCTGATATATGTGGCTGACAGAACTGGTTGGCCTTTCTGTTTCCCTCTTGTGATCCCTGAGTGCCATGTACTCAGCCTAAGAAAAATTCATTTCATTTCCTACTGTTTGGAATTCTACCTACTAAACGAACCAGAGTTCTGAAGACTCTATTTTCAAAGGACTCAAAGTCCAAATGTCAGGGGTATGGAGAGGGAGTTAATGTTTATTTATTTATCTAGAATTGGAGTCTCTGCCACCCAGGCTGGAGTGCAGTGGTACAGTCATGGCTCACTGCAGCCTCGGCCTCCTGAGCTCAGGTGATCCCTCCTTCTCAGCCTCCTGAATAGCTGGGACTACAGGAGCATACCACCACATCCGGCTATATAAAAAAAAATTTTTTAAAGCTGGGTTCGGTGGCTCAGCCTGTAATCCCAGTGCTTTGGGAGGTTGAGGTGAGTGGATTGCCTGAGCCCGCGGGTTTGCGACCCTCCTGGGCAACCTGGCGAGACCTCATCTCTACAATAAATCAAAAATTAGCTGGGCGTGGTAGCACACGCCTGTAGTTCCAGTTACTTGGAAGGCTGAGGCGGAAGAATTGCCGGAACCCAGCAGGTTGAAGCTGTGGTGGCCGGGAGCGTGCCACTGCACTCCAGCCTGGGCGACAGAGTGAGACTCCAACTCAAAAAAAAATGTTTTTTTAATAGAGATGAGGTCTTGCTATGTTGCCTAGGTTGGTCTTGAACTCCTAAGCTCAAGCAACCCTTCCACAATGCTGAGATTACAGTTGTGAGCTACAGCGCCCACTGTGCTAATATTGAATAGCAGCTGCCACGTGTTGACACTGTATGCATGTGCCTTTGTTATAAAATGTCTCTAGCAAATGCTTGGCTGAATTGTGGAGGGGCAGGAATGTCTCAGGTTGGGACTGGTGGTGCCACAGCCAGATCTGAGGCAGAGCGGATTCCTCCAAGTAGAAAGAAGCAAGTCAAATGATTTTGTTCAGGGCTGACATTGAGGGTAAAGATAATGACTTCCTATCACTTGACCTTCCAGAACACATTTGCTTCTTGAGGTTTTGTCAACTCCGACCCACAGTCAACTCAAGACAAGAATGGAGGGCACTACTCCTTGGTTTAGTCATGCATGAAAATCTAATAGTTTGAGCAAGATGGGACCCTACAGCCAGATTCAAAAACTTATTTCCTTTTTTGTGGCTCAGGGGTTCATCCATCAGTTTTGAGATCATTTCTCTTTCCTTGTTGGTACCTGGCCAAATGCGTGTGTTTGAGTCAACCACAGGTGCCCCTTAGCCATGGGACCTCAGCAGTGGTTACTGGAATACAACTGAGGAGGGGTGGACTATCCTACCTGGGTCTGGGAATGGACATTTTTGGACAATGCTTCCAAATTAGATGTGTTACAAAGCCAAATTCATTTGGGCTGAATTGTAGAGCCATGGGACTCAATTCAGGGAATGACGATTTTCCATTGCATCCTCCCAAATTGGGAAACAATGGTTTAATCACCAGAAACTTCTAGAGGAGTAATTCTTAAAATTTAATGGTCACACAGATCACTTGGCGGATCTTCTTGAAAAGAACTTGCAAATTCAGTAGGCTGGAGGGTGGGGCCTGAGGTTCTGCATTTGTAACATGCTGCCTGGTGATGTGGATGCTACTAGCCCATGGACCGCACTCTGAGTGGAATGTTCTAGAACAGTGGTTCTCAGAGTAGGGTAGCAGCAGCAGCACCACCAGAAAACCTGTTAGAAATGTGAATTTTCCAGCCTGGGCAACTTGGTGAGACCTCATCTCTATAATAAATCAAGAAAAAATAGCCAGGCATGGTGGCGTGTGCCTGTAGTTCCAGTTACCTGGGAGGCCGAGGGGGAGGGATTGCCTGAGCCCAGCAGGTTGAGACTGCAGTAGCCATGAGCATGCCATGGCACTTCAGCCTGGGTGACAGAGTGAGACCAAAAAAAAAAAAAAAGAAAAAAAAAGAAAAAGGAAAAGACAAATGCAAAATTTTGGGCCCCATCCCAGACCTGTAGAATCAGGAATTCTGGAGGTGGAACCAGTGACTGAGTTTTAACAAGCCTTACTGGTGATTCTGAAGCATGCTTAAGTTTGGAAATTGTTGTTCTATAAAACAAATTACAGGTTCTTTAGTGTAACACTTCCCAATATTTATCAATCTTTTGCTGCTGAAAAATCTCTTGTGTGTCTAGTCTCAAATCCTTTAGCCTAATTATTCCAGTTCCATCAGGTTTTCTTGAAGGTATCTTTTAAAGGTCCCAATCATAGACTTTTAGGTATGGAAGAAGCCTTAAGATACATTCTGATTCTTTCCCCCTCCCCAGTGCTTTATGCCTTTTATGAACCTTGTCTACCTCTGAGTGGAAAGCATTAAAGTGAAAATTAGTTGAAAAATCTGTAATCCATACTATTCATCACTTCTGTGTCAGAGGTTTGGGCCATTCTGCTTGTTTTAATTTGGAGTTTAAACATATATTTACAATGCCTTAAAGCTTCAACTCCTTATACTAGTATTGTTCAAAAAAATTCAAAAAAGGACAGAACAGTGGGAAAGAATAATTAAACTCTACAAGTGCTTTTAAATGGTTGGATTTGAAATTCAGTTGAGGCCTGCAGAGGTGGTTCTCGGGGCAATGAGGGCACAGGAGTCAACAATTGTCCAGGATTGCCTCAGAAGAGGGGAGAACTGAAGGGACACCGGGGAGGGGGGCGTGGAGAACTTTTGTGGAAGGCAAGAGAAGGTTCAGAGTCATGAAATCATCATTATTGCATTGAACTTTACATACTGGATTATATTAATAAAATATGACCATGGCAGAGAAGGGTGTAAATGCCTCTTTCTTTTAATCTATGAGTTCTTAATAAATAGGGACACCCAATGATTGTGGGGTTGAACTAGAGTAGATCACTTCAGCTCCCAGAGCAGTGTAGCCCTCTTGCTGGAATGCTTTCTCTTGGAGGGTATGAGTTTTTCTGAGGTCCCTATACCTTAGCTCAGAGGAACCAACTGATTTTCCCATCTAGACATGTGGGAAACATCCCTTCCTACTCCTGTGTTTTGCTCCTTGGGAGAGGTCACCTTCATTCCCCATTCCTGATGGCAGCTTGCCAAAACAGCCGTCACCGATGAGGGGACACTGGATGCTCTCAGGAACCCTGAGTCGGGTGCTAGATTTTCCAGGTTCCCACCCTAGTCTGCCTCACACCAGCCTTTTATGCTCCTCAGACATTTACATGGTGTCCTGGCAAAAGTGCACAGAAATCCCCAAAGAGAATTCCATTTAGTATTTTCTAGTAAAGAGCTTTCAAGTTGAACAAAATGCTGTATCTCCAGATAATTGTGAGAAAAGTCCTAGACAAATTCATAACTACAAGTAACAATTACCAGGAAACTCACAGTGGGAAATAGCATGGTAAAATATTCACCCCCAAAGGACTTAAGATGTATGAATTTGGACAGACTAAACAATGCGCTGGTTTTAACCTAAATAAAAGACCCAAAACATGTGGTGACAAAATGTGAAATTGGGCCACAGCCATCAATTACTTAACAACTTCCCCTCCATGAACTTGTAACATTAGAAGTTTTTGCAGAGCTCTCTAAGGTGCTGGGAAAGACAGGTAAGGTGGCATTTTCACACAAGTGGAGTGTGTGCTAACTAAATGTTGAGGATTCTAGCCCAATGCCTCACATTATTGGTTGGCCAGGTTCTCCAACTTGAAGCATTTCTGACAGAGTGAGAATATTTCAAGAATCTTAGAGGACTTAGAGTGAACCCCCAGTTATCCAGGGTTGGCCCTCACTTTTGGAAAACATCTAGAATCCTGGCTTTTCTTCCTTCCAACACTAGATCCATCTTCTCCTTACCTCTTCCCCTCACCCCTACCAATCTCTTTTTGGATTTTTTTTCACAGCTCATTAGGCAATTAAAATAAAGGATGGGCAAATAAAATAACATGAAAAAAAAATGGGTGGGACAAAAATGTATGTAATGGACCCATTAATCCTGAATCCGGAATAGGTTTTGTTAAGAGGAAATTGAAACTCTTGGTCAAATGTATTATTTTGGTTGTTGATGGTCATTAATCAATGAATGAATCATTATTTACTGATCAACACCCTTAAATATTGTTAGCAATTTAGTTTTTTTTTATAGTTATAAATAGTTTTAAAAGATTATGAATGTGATTTTGGTTGTCATTGAGGTAGACACCAAATTGGCCCCAAATGATTGGTGATATCTGTGCTGTTAATCCTCATATGCCTAGTCACATGGACTGTTCTCTCCCCTCTTCCCCCCGGCCCCCTCAGTGAGTCAAGAGAATAAAAATGTACCTGTCCCGCAGTGTCATACAGTCCGAGCAAGTGTTGCTTGCCTCCCACTGTCACAGTAACTGGGGGAGAAGAGAAGAGGAGAGTCCATAAACACAAGCTTCAATCAGGAGCTGTAATATTTCTCCATGCCAGCATCTCCTTGGGCAGCAAGGGTAAGCATATGCCTCACCCATGTATATTCTAAACCAAGTTGACAGCATAATTTCCAAATGAAAGGTAACCTTGGGCTGCAGTGACAGCAGATGGTCTGAGCCAAGTCCAAATTTCTCAACAGAGATGAATATTATTGGTGCTGCCAAAATACTCTGCAGGCTGCCCATTGATTCTTATCAGGTTCTAGACACCAAACTTCAGAAAAGAAAAGAATGCTGGGCTCCTTTTTTTTTTTTTTTTTTTTTTAATAAGAGTATTGTCTTTTCTTTGGTTTGAACCACCTTTCAGGATACAGAATTACATAAGCAATTTCTCCATTAGAAATTTCTCTGCTTTTATCTATTAATAAAACCCTAAAAAAAAAAAAAAAAAGAATATTAACACATCATCTGCATATTTTATAGTTTATAAAGCAGGGCAAATAATTAAATAAGAAAGGCTTAGCATTTATTTGAAAAATAATTTTTTGAGTGAGACACGCTGGGGTGCAATGGCATGATCATAGCACTGCAGCCTCGAACTCCTGGGCTCAAGAGAGCCTCCTACCTCAGCCTTTCAAGTAGCCGGGACTATAGGCACACACCACAATGCATGGCTAAGTTTTAAAAATGTTTTGTAGAGACGGGGATCTCACTATGTTGCCCAGGCTGGTCTTGAACACCTGACCTCAAGCAATCCTCCTGTCTCGGCCTCCCAAAGTCCTGGAATTATAGGAGTGAGCCACCATGCCTGGCCTTGAAAAATTTTTAAAATTTAAATATTCCCGTGCTTTAGCTGAACTGCTTCATTATGATTTTGAACCTTAGTTGCAGGAGATGTTGTGTGGATTTGGGGTCACATACCTAAAGGCGTATGGAGAGTGAAAAGTAGTGAGTTTGATTTACCCAGCAGACTTACTGCCTTGCTAGGCAATCATGCCTAAAGTGAGAAGCAATACAGGGATAGCAGCCACCCTGTTCATGTCTGGAAATGAAACACAGTCTCAACTTGAAACCAAACTAAGATTGAACAGATTGAATGCAGGAGTAACATAATTCTCTTGGTGAATGGAAAGAGCAAATTTAAATTTCTAAAAAAAAAAAAAATTGAATCTTTTTTTGGAAAAAGGAAGTAAAATATGAAGAAAAGTGTGAGTTTTTTTCGGTTGATTAAAAAATGCAAATGCAATGTAAAGATGGTTTTTGATTCCTCTTATCATTTAGCTGTGCAGGAAATGAGAGATAAACAGCACAGCAACCTTTTATAACTGTATCTCTAACAGCCAAATTCTCTAGCCTGCTGCTCAGAGTTGCTGATTTGGTACTGATTTTACTTTTATTTCTTTTCGGTTCCATGGGCTACATAGATGCAAAGTGTTTCTAATGGCTCATTCTTTGGAAAGCACTTGTTTAAAAGCACCGCCTCCCCAGACGCTGGGAACTATTTTTCTAATCAGATCACCATGTGTGCAGCTTGATAACATAGCTTCAGTCACTCCTCTGAACTGTTGAACATGTAGTTTTCAATGGGGACTTCAACTCCATCCATCTCTGGTTACGGTGCTGACAGGAGAAGGGCATCTACACATTTTTACTTCCTCTCATAGGTCAGGCTAGCAATGGAAATTAACATGAGAACGAGTGGCCCAGAGTGCTTTGTCCAGTTTTATTTTCCTTTTCATGCACACTGGCAGAAGAGAGCCCAGTCAGATGTTCCTGAAATCTGCCTAAATTGTTTCTTTTATGACCAATTCACAACCTAGTCATGGATTAGGAACGAAAGGAAGACATCATGGAATTATTATTACAACATGGAATTTCCTGCCTTTGGTGAGCCCAAGTACATGCAGGTCAGGGCAGCTGTTCTCAAGATCCTTTGCATGTCCCATGACATACAGGCCTGGGGCCACCTGTGGAGCGAGTCCTAAAAGTCAAGTCATCCTCACTGTCCCTCTGTGCACTGCAAATACTCTTAAGCAATGGCTTTGACTTTTGTCACTGGGGCCCTGAAGCGCTTGTTCAGATTTTCCCTGTTTTCTCAGAGAACATTCCCTCCAGTCTGCTTTTCCTCGGGCTTCACCCCTTTCTACCGTGACAGGTTTGACCCTGGGAATTATGCCTGGTCTGAGGTGAGAGCGAGCTCAGGAGGGTTGACTAATGGACTGAGGGTCTGGGCAAAGCTTTCTCTCTGTTCTTTCCTTCTTCAAGGGCCTTTGGGTTCCTGGACTGAACTCAGTGTTGTGTATAGAGAGACCAGATACATACTGTTTACAATTACTCCTGCTGTGCAGCATGGAGATGAGTGGTTTACTGCAAAGCATGGGCACAACGCAGTGTAGCACATACTAAGTTGGGCAGTGTGGAGGGCGGTGGGAGCGTGTAGCAGGGGTGCAACTGTGTGTGCATGCGTCTGTGCACACACATTGCTGAAGATTGGTCAGAGTCTAAAGGATGGGCCAACACTTATAGGATGCACTGGGGGAGAAATAGCTGTAGTTCATGAGCTATCGAGAGTGCATCGGGAAAGGAACAGCTGTGGTTCAGGAGCTACACTGAGTGTGTTGGAGGAGGAACAGTTGCGGCTTATGAACTACCCAGGGTTCAGTGGGGGATAAACAGTCATGGTTCATGATCTACGCAGAGTGCACTGGGGAGAAGCAGCTGTGGTTCACAAACTACCAGAATGCACTGGGTTCTGAGCTATCAGAGCGTACTGGGGAAGGAATAATTGTGGTTCACAAGCTACCCAGAGTGCACTAGGGGAGGAATAGCTATGGTTTTGACTTACCCAACGTGTACAGGGGGAAGAACAGCTGTGGTTCTGAGCTACCCAGGGTGCACTGGGGGAGATGTTGCTGACAAGGTGGGCACACCGGGTGGGGCTGCCCTGGCTCACTAACCAAGGCTTCATTCTGAAGGGTTTATTAAGCTCTGAGAGTTCCACTTTCTTCTTTTCCCCCAAATGAGTTAAGGAGAAGGAATTAAAATAATTTCTTTAAGTTAAGATGGTAGTGAGAGGAGGGATGTTATAGTTGGAGTGGAAGCCATGTTGGGTTTCCAGCTTTGCTGTATAGTGGCTGTCCACTCTGTGTGTGGGGCCAGTCCTGCTGGAGGACTCCTAAAGGAAGGGGGCAGAGCTTGTGTCCGTAATTCTGGAAGTTGCTTTCTTGACTCCTCTCTGCCTTTTTATTCTCTCATCCTGTCAGAAAGAAGATAAGTGGTTGACACAGTTTATGCCAGAGGACATCAAGGGACAGCCAGAGACAGATCTAAGCATCCGTCAAACATTGTGGGTTATACAAGTTGTGGCTTTGTGATTCCTTATTTTGGACTAACAGTGGATGTCTTATTTCTTGCCAACCTGAGTCCCGTGAGGCCCCTCAATTTGGAAACGAATCAGTCACAACTGCACAAAAGGAAGACATTGACAGAAAACACCACTGGCAAATGAAATGTGGTGAGGTTGAAAGAACAAGATCTTTTAAACCAGAGAGTTCTGCATTTGAATCCTGTCTTTGCCGTTTACCTCTTGAGTGACCTTGAGACAGTTGCCTGAGCCCCTCTTCCCTCATCTGTTAAAAACAGGGATAAGAGCCAGGCTCGATGGCTCAGCCTGTAATCCTGTGCCTTTGGGAGGCTGAGGTGAGTGGATTGCCTGAGCCCGCGGGTTTGAGACCCACCTGGGCAACTTGGCGAGACTTCATCTCTACAATAAATCAAAAATCAACTGGGTGTGGTAGCGCATGCCTGTAATTCCGGCTACTCGGAAAGCTGAGGTGGAAGGATCGCTGGAGCCCAGCAGGTCGAGGCTGCGGTGGCCGGGAGTGGCCACTGCACTCTAGCCTGGGCAACAGAGTGAGACTCCAACTCAAAAAACAACAAAAAAAACCCCCCAAAAACAGGGATAAGCCGGGCTCAGTGGCTCAGCCTGTAATCCCGCGCCTTTGGGAGGCTGAGGTGAGTGGATTGCCTGAGCCCGCGGGTTCGTGACCCGCCTGGGCAGCGAGACCTCATCTAAACAATAAATAAAAAAATCAGCCGGGCGTGGTAGCGCATGTCTGTAATTCCGGCTACTTGGAAGGCTGAGGCGGAAGGATCGCCGGAACTCAGCAGGTCAAGGCTGCGGTGGCCGGGAGCGGCCACTGTACTCCAGTCTGGGCGACAGAGTGAGACTCCAACTCAAACAAAACAAAACAAAACAAAACAAAAACAGGGATAACATCACCTACCAAAGAGAGTACCTGTGAGGAGGAAATTAAATGAGAAACTGCCTGGCACACATCCTGACCCACAGTAGGTGCTGAACAATTGTTATTTTTCTTCTTTTAGCAAATGTATATGGAACACATTCTGAGGACAAGGGCTAATCTGTCTTGCTCTTCACTGAATACTTAGTGCAAATTAACTGGCACATAGTGGAATCTTACTATTTGTGAATTACTAGTCATTTTCTACCTCTACAATTCGATAGCTACTTAGATCTGACATTCCCCAGTGGACAGGAAGACCCTTGAGGGCAAACTCTCCACACCCCATATGCCCAACAGCACACAGCCCAGTTCCTGGTATACAAAACAAATGCTGAATGCATAATTCAGAAACAGAACACCAGGAGCAACTCACTGGGAGCAGAGGAAAGTTCCTCAAAATGTGCAGACCTGCCAAGACACTAGCTGTGGGAGGCACCTGCAGCCAGCAAATCTGCCTGGCAGACAGTGGTCAGGCTAGAATCTCAGATCGCCTTCTATTCTTGGAGCTATTAAGAGTTGTTTTTTGAGTTTAGAGAGATTTTGAAGAGAGTAAGTCAAATGACCTGCTAATGACTCAGATGGTTCTCTCAGTCAAGTGTGAAAAGTTGTCAGTGACCTGTTAAGTATGGAAAATGAAGGCCCTCTTTCCCAAATCCATTAAACTCTTTGCTTTCTTGT